CTCCTGTTCTAGAGCCTGGGATTGATGCCACAGAACTGAACTGATGTCACAATGGGGGACAAAGCAGTGAGAGATGAGAATTTGGGTTATGGTTTCTGTTCCTCTTGTACAAAACCCAGTGAGCATGATCATCAATGCCCAACTTTAGGGTGGATTAGTTCATGGAGATGTCTGAAGTCAAAACCAGCCTGGAATGTCACAGAAATGAAATTATTTCAGTGGTTCATAAGGTTTTCATCTCCCAGTGTGCAGCCCAGGGCATTTTAGGTTGTTGGTTTGTCAGAGCTGCTTTGTCCAGCTGGCCCAGGACTGGCTCAGGGTTAAACCAACAATTCCAGCCTGGGCTGCAGGTTCCAGGTCTAAAAGCCAAGACAGAGCCAGTTCCTCTGGGATTGGGCACTCCAGTGATGCATGGAATCATTAAGGTTGGAAAAACCTCCAAGATCATCAAGTCCAACCAGAGCTGAGTGCCACATCCAGGGGACACCTCCAGGGCTGGGGTCTCCAAACCTCCTTGGGCCGCCCCTGATAGCATTTCACAATACAGAGGCAGTTCCTCTGGGATTTGGGCACTCCAGTAATGCATGGTTGGAAAAATCTCCAAGATAATCAAGTCCAACGTGTGCCCAATCCCCACCAGAGCTCTGAGTGCCACATCCAGGGGACACCTCCCGGTCTGGGGACTCCAAACCTCCCTGGGCAGCCCCTTCCAGCATTTCACAATACAGAGCCAGTTCCTCTGGGTTTGGGCACTCCAGTGATGCATGGAACCATTAGGTTGGAAAAAACCTCCAAGACCATCAAGCCCAATCCCCACCAGAGCTGAGTGCCACATGCAGGGGACACCTCCAGGGATGAGGACTCCAAATCTCCCTGGGCAGCCCCTGACAGTATTTCACAATACAGAGGCAGTTCCTCTGGGATTTGGGCACTCCAGTAATGCATGGTTGGAAAAATCTCCAAGATCATCAAGTCCAACCTGTGCCCAATCCCCACCGGAGCTCTGAGTGCCACATCCAGGGGACACCTCCCGGTCTGGGGACTCCAAACCTCCCTGGGCAGCCCCTTCCAGCATTTCACAATACAGAGCCAGTTCCTCTGGGTTTGGGCACTCCAGTGATGCATGGAACCATTAAAGTTGGAAAAAACCTCCAAGATCATCAAGTCCAACCTGTGCCCAATCCCCACCAGAGCTCTGAGTGCACATCCTGTGACACCTCCAGAGATGGGGACTCCAAACCTCCCTGGGCAGCCCCTGCCAGTATTTCACAACTTTTCCATGGGGAAATTCCTGCTGATCCCACCCTGAGCCGTTCCCTCTCCTCCTGTCCCTGTTCCCTGGAGCAGAGCCCGACCTGGGGCTGTCCCCTCCTGTCAGGAGCTGTGCAGAGCCACAAGGGCCCCCCTGATCCCCCTTTTCTCCAGCCTGAGCCCCTTCCCAGCTCCCTCAGCCATTCCCAGTGCTCCCGCCCCTTCCCAGCTCCATTCCCTGCCCCGGACACGCTCCAGCTCCTCCAGGTCCAGACTGGACACAGCACTCGAGGTGTGACCTCACAGAGGGACCATGCCTGAGATTATGGCTGAATCAGAGAGCAAATATCTATTTACATGGATAGCTATGTACTGATTAAATAGATAAATAGATGTATTTGATAGATTTATTTCTACAATTAAAATATATAATATTATGTACAGTGAATAACTATTTTTGGGTCCCACAAGCAGCTGGACTCCCAGAACTTTGGGATTTCAGCTGGGCCTGCCACAGCAGCACAGAAATGTGTGGCAGAGCTCTTGGTGAGATTATGGCTGAATCAGAGAGCAAAAATCTACTTATATGGATATATATGTATTAATTAAATAGATTAATAGTGTATTTGATAGATATATTTCTACAATTAAAATATGTAATATTATCAATTAAAATATATACTATTATATGCAATGAATACATATTTTTTGGGTCCCTCAAGCAGCTGAACTCACAGAACTTTGGGATTTCAACTGGACCTTCCACAGAAGCACAGTCATGTGTGGCAGAGCTATTGGTGAGGTTATGGCTAAATCAGAGACCAAATATCTATTTGTATGGATATATATGTATTAATTAAATAGATAAATTTATTATATATAAATTAAATAGATAAATAGATGTATTTGATAGATTTATTTCTAAAATTAAAATATATAATATTATTTACAGTGAATACCTATTTTTTGGGTCCCACAAGCAGCTGAACTCACAGAACTCCTGTGACTTCAGCTGGGCCTGCCACAGCAGCACAGGAATGTGAGGCAGAGCTATTGGTGGGATTATGGCTGAATCAGAGAGAAAATATCTATTTATAAGGATAGATACATACTGATTACATAGATAAATAGATGCATTTGATAGATATATTTCTACAGTTAAAATATAAAACATTATCAGTTAAAATATATAATATTATGTACAGTGAATACAAATTTTTACAAATCAGCACATCCAGCCCCCATATGATCTGTACATGGAGGGAAGCTCAGCCTGAGATTCTGTTTCCAATTAAAAGCAGCTCTGCTGCAATTAATCACAGCCTGCTTGATGAAGCACACACTGAAAGGACAACAAGGACTCTGGGAGGCTCAGCCTGTCATCTGCAGCCACAACAAGTTGGGTTTAAACCTCAGGACAAGGAGGGTTTGTCACCCAGCCCCTGGTCTGAGCTGCTCCCAACACTGTCCCCAAACCAGACAGCCCAGAAGATCCCCAAAATATAATTTATTAAAGCTTCAATTTAATAAATGTCACTTAATAAATTAAATAACACCCATCCAACACTGGCTTTGAACACTAAACTCTCACTACTTTTATTTATCATGATTTTAATTACTGAACTCAACTATAAACCTGATTATTTACCTCCTTCCATTCTGTGTCTCCCCATCCCATTTTCCCTTTTTGCACCTCCAAAAGTTGAGTCACCCCAGAAAGTTTACAAAGCTCTGGGATCATCTTAAATCACATGGGATGACACAAAAATATTTGTGCTTCTTCCAGCAATTTTGAAAACTTCAGCAAAACTAAACTTTTTCTCCATTTCTTTGCAAAGAGATATTGAAAAAAAAACCAAACCTCTCCCAGGGTTTAACTCACTGAGCTATTACAGTTTTCAATAGGAAAATGTCTTAGTGAAAAACTCCTCATCAGCTTTTGCTTTAAATTAAGGGCTTAGATTTTATCTGAGGCTGAATCCACTGCTAAACACAAATCTTTTCTCCTTGCTCACAGCTTCTACAGGTGCAAGATAAAATTTAAAAACAGTAATAAAAAGGTTGTACCTCTCTTGTTCTTCTTATGTTCTAAGATTCCCTTAGAATCTTAGAATATAATAATAAGAAGAAAATATTCTATTTATATTTAGAATAGAAATAAATCCTAAATATATTCTAATATATTTTTACAGTGGAGAAATGTTCTTTGGCTTTGATAAAGGCCTGGACAGGACTGTTCAATTTACAGAAATCATGGAATGGTTTGGGTTGGGAAGGACCCTAAAGCCCATCCCATGGGCAGGGACCTCTTCCACTGTCCCAGGTTGTCCCAGGCTCCATCCAACCCTGCCTTGGGCACTTCCAGGGATCCAGGGCAGCCACAGATTCCTTTGGGAAGGAATTCCAGCCGTGAATTCCTTCCCAAAATCCCATCTCAAACTCTCCAAATGCCTCCAAGTCCAGCAGCAACTGAAAAAGCAACCAGGCCCTCAAAGGTGACACCACAGAAGTGCCCATTCTCAAACCATGGACAAAAAAATGATGGAAAACCCAAAGAACAGGAGGAAACACAATCTGTGAAATTCCCTTTTTAAACCTGTAGCTCACAGCCAGGTTGAGTCCTTCGTAGTCAAAGCAAATGTAAAGAAAGAAAACAATGCCCACAATTTTCAGGAATTTCCACCCTGAATTTCCACAATTCCCACAGTTTCCACCCTGGCTCAGGAAAATGCATTCGTGTCAATAAAAGTGGGAATTCCATGCACATCCTGATGAAAGACATGGAGCAGATTGCAGGTGTATAAATACAACTGAAGTTGTACCACAAATCATCTCTCCACCCAAATCACCTCATGAGAAAGAGAAATAATGTTCTGAAATGTGAATTAAGGCAGATTTGAGCACATGAGGCACTTCTGCCACAACACCAAAACAGAGCAATTGACCCATTTAAAAATCCTTATTTCTCTTTCTTGCCAACACTGTCACGTGAAAGTTTTCTGCTGTTCTCATTCTCAGAGTTCTGGTTTGGTTAAACTCTGGCACATGTTTTGTGCCAAGCAGGCTTTTCCCAGTGGAAGAGAAGTTCTTTCGTGCCTTATTTCAGTCTCTTCCACTTTTAAAGAATCTTTTCTGCCAAGCTTTGCTCCCATCAAGGGATGAATTCCATGAGCAGGAAGAAGGAAAGCAATGGAATACCCTGGGAAGGTGCTGCCCATGGCATGCAGAGCCCACCTGGACACAGAATTCCACCCTGAATTTCCAGAATTTCCACAATTTCCACAATTTCCATCCTGGCTCAGGGAATGCATTCCCGTCAATAAAAGTTGCGCTTCTGTTTAAAACAGGGGCTCAGTTCTGGGTGTTTGCAGCCCCCAAAATCCTGAAAAGGCAGAGGGCTGCCTAATCAGTGATTTAAAGTGGTAACAAAAAATGGATTTGGGATTGGCCAAAGGCTCATAAGCCAAGTTCAGCTTTTCCTGACACAGCTCTCCGAGCTGGCTCTTGCTGCATTTTGGACTCGATAAATGCTCCACAAGTGTCCAGTGGCACTCTGACCATGGAGGGGACAAGATCCCTGATTAATGCACCGAATTCTCATCACATTTTAATGCAGTCCAACCTCACTGAGACAATTTCTGCGTGTGAGAACTCCAGCCAGGGGAATGGTACTTGCCTGGAGCTCCAGGTGGGATGGAGCTCTGGAGAGCTGAAATCCTCCTCTTGTTCCTTCCTGCAGATTTCTGGCCCTGACTCCCAGCTCCAGAAGAATCCAGGCGATCTCTTTTTCATGAGCAATTCCCACTGAAGTTACTCCTATGAGAGGGGAAAAAAAATAATAAAAATATGAGATATATTAAGTGTTGCTCACTGAAATCCCACAAGAAAGAGTGAAAGAGGTGCCTGGAACTTGAGCTGGCAGCACACCGAGCAGTTCAACTTCAGATTACAGAACAGAATCTGGGGCAAAAAAAGCATTTTTATATTCTTATATAAAAGCAAAGTGAACACAAGTTGTTTTGGTTAATAAGGAGACAAAATAAATTTAAACCATTACACACAGAGTGAAGTTTTCCCTTCTCCACCTGTAACAGATCAGACTGGAACACCTCTCCCCCTGAATCACCCTTTTTAAAATTCATATGTGGGGCTAAATGTTTTGGCCTTTGCTATGAAAAAACTTCTTTTTATCCCCTGGAAACCTGAGATCTCAGCCACGCTGGAGTGCCCAGACACATCAAATTTCCTGAGATTTCCCCACCCAGACCTACCTAAAGAAATCCCCACCAATTTCTCTGAGATTTCCCTCCCCAGACCTACCTAAAGAGAACCCCACCAATTTCTCTGAGATTTCCCTCCCCAGACCTACCTAAATAAAACCCCTCATATCAGACATTTATTCCTAGAATTGGAAGGTCAGGGAGGAGGAGGAGGAGGAGGAGGAGGAAGAGTGGGGCTCGGGGCAGTGCTGGAGTCACTCAGTGGGCACCTCTCAGCAGGAGTGCCAGGGCAGAGCTGTGCCTGCAGAAATCCCTGCCAGATCAACCCACAGCCTCCAAAAGCAAAGAAATGAGCCAGGCCCGATCCTGATTCATCAGCATTCAGTTGTGGATTCAGAGGGACAGCTCGGAATTGCCACTGGAATAAGGAAAAATCAGGATTAGGCACCATCTGTCTCGGAGAGGGGAGCGCCCGGAATCGCTGCGCACGTTTGAATCCTCTTCCCCCATTTCTTTAATCTCCTGCGCATTCCAGGTTTTCCATTCAGCTCCGGTGACAAAAGATTTTTTACAAAATGACAGTCCAGATTGAGAGAACAGAAATTACAACCTCTGACAAAAGAGATGCCAAACTTTTTATCAGCGCTAAGCGCTCCTTCCACGCAGAGCCTGGGCTGCAATGGGAAATATAAGGCAGATGTCGAATGGAAATTAAACATTGTGCTCCCAGGGTGGCCTCAGCTGCATTCAGAGCTTGATTTAAAACAAGGCCAGAGTTCTTTCATCATTTCTTCATGAAAAAAAAAAAAGTTTCAAACGTAAAGATATTCCAAACAGGCGCATACTTGACCTAGAACTTGGCGGTGCAGGGCAATAAATGAGTGTAAAAAGCACCAGCACGGGGGAGAAAAGGCAAAGCGAGTTGTCTGGGAGAATTTGGTCCTCAAATCACTTCTATTTTGGCATCCTGAGAGTTAAGAGGGAACCCAGGTGAAATATCTTGGCCCTTTTTCTAAATTTCCACCAAAACCTCTCATTTGGAGGCTTGGTCAACTCGATTTTCTGCACCAGAGCCAAAACCAAGCCCAAGCAGTTTGAGGAGAATTTCTCTGTGAGCTTCTCTAAGACTTAAACCAAATTTACATCTGTGCCTGGTATTATTAGACATGATAAAATAGCACGAGACGTTTGCAACGGCTCAGATATTCAGCCTCGAGCAGCACATATCTGAACGGTCTGCAATGTTTGCTTTTAATAATTCCTGATCATGTAACAGCTCAGCCAAAAGAAAATAATAATAGGCTTGCAAAAATTAAACCCCCAGACTGTTAAATATCCTGTACACTGAGGGCAGTGAGGAAAAATTTAAGGATTCGAAGGATGATGCTCAAATTTACAGAAAAAAGCACAAACCAAATTGCATTTGCTTCTCTTTCACTTTGTCAGATTCTTTTTTAATGTAAGTAAAACTAAAATTTAAAGTGAAACGAATAAAATATTTACAGCTTGAACACATAAATATGTTTGCACTCTTTGGAGCAGCCCCTTTGTAGAAACAATTTTCTCCTCTCAGCAATTTCACCTCAAACGCAGTAAAACAAAAAAACTTTTGAGGCCACGACTTTGTAACCTCCCTGAAGTTTGGAGCACGGGCAGAGCTGGCCTGTGCACACAAGACAATCAAACACATGCTGAAATGCCAGCCAAACTCCTGCCTGTATTAATTTTTTTTCCCCTCTCCACCAAAGGAAGAAATTGTGACAAGATTTTACTCTGAATGCCCTGACAAAGCACGAGCAGGACACTCATCCCCCTTCATCTCCCAGCACAAGATTCAATCAGCTGAAACACAAACCTCATTCTGCACTGAGAGATTTTTTTATTGTTATTATTATTTTTTTTCCCCCCCCAAATAAAACCAACTTGCAAACAGCCTCCCTGGCCTTTTTAAAGCCCGTTTTCTATTGCTTTAAAACATAAAATAGAGATGGATGGATGGATGGACACAAGGATGGATGATGGATGGATGGAGGGATGGATGGATGGATGGATGGATGGATGGATGGATGGATGGATGGATGGGTGGACAGCTAGAGAAATGCTTTCAGTCATGCTTTCTTCCCCCCCCCACACACACCTTTAAAATTGAAAAGCATCAGTATCCAAATAGCAACAGGAAATTTTTACCTTGTGGCTAAATAGCTCACTGTTCACTTTGCAGCTGCCTCTATTTTTTGCTGGGCATAAAAAAAAAAAAATTAAAAAAAAAACCAAAAAAACCACCAATACAAAAGTCTTTCCTAAGAAAACCAAGCTTTTGACATAAGGGCAGCGCCAAACGCAAACCTACAAAGAAATTTCCTTTTTTTTCCCCCCGTCCCGTCGTTATAATTCCTAATTTTGTGGGATGTATTGCTGGGGCTGTTTATCATAACAGTGTGCAATAAAAAGGACGACTAACTCTTGCAATTTTCTCCCTACTCCTCCCCTTGACAGGGGCCACTGATAGGGAAAGAGGCTCGGAAAAGCAGAGCAGTGAAAGGCTAAGAAACAATAGGCAACCATGGCTTTGACAATGCAGCCCTGAACCCTTTTTGCTCCCGCTGTGACACTTGCATTCAAGAGCAAGGGCGGCTGCCATCATAAGAATGGACAATGGCATAAGGAATACAAGGGAGAGAAGGAGGGGGGGGGGGGGAGATAGAGAGAGAGAGAGAAAAAAAAAAAAAAAAAAAGGAAATCAGATGAATTCAGAGCTAAGATGGCAGAGCTCTCACCTTTTCCGCTTTTTTCGAGTAATCTGGATGGAGACGTCCCGCGGAGAAGAGATAAAAAGGGTTGTGCTGAACTGTTGGATGGTTCTGAAGACTTCTGCATTTGCAAACGCATTTTAGAACTATTTGTAGGGGTATATATGCTGCATGCCATCTCTCTGTCTCCGTCTCTCTCTCTCTCCCTGTGTCTCTCTCCCTTCTGTTTTATGTCCTGCTATCTCCATCACACACCTCTAATAGTACGAAGACTTTCTGCCCGTGGAAGTAAGTGAGAGTGTGTGTGTTCCTTAATGTTTGAATCAAGACACACGTCTGCATGCATTTCTAATCCAAGGAGCCTATAGCAGTTACTACAACTATCAATTAGTCAGCAATAGCTCGAGATCCCCATGTGTCTGGGTGAACAAAGGTGAGAAACACATGCAAATAGTCCTCCAGCACCTGGGTCACGTACAGTAACTTAGCCAGCAACAAATAATTGCATCTGTTTCTGCCTTTTTTTCCGTGCTCCTCGCTGCTTGGGATGCAAAGTTGCAGGTTATTAATGTGGGATTGCAGCGCAATTAGGCATGGCACTGTATATTTGCAGCCCAACGACACAATAAAAGGGAATTAAGCTGAGCTGGGATGGGAATGAACGGGCGACTTTGAGGGGTTTAAAGTAAAAAGATGCTCTGAGCTGTAGCAGCGCTTCAATTTTTATTTTAGTTTTTCTTTTTTGGAGTAATTGTTGCTGGGTTAAAGGATGTAAGATGTATTTGGTCGTTTCATATCTGTTAGATAAGAAACTGATTATTGCAGAGGAGACAGAGTGGATGCCTAATTTCCAGAAGTTAAGTCCATAAAGAGGGTAAGCTAAATCTGTTACTAATTTTTTTATTAATTAAGCGACTGTTACTTCTAAGATCATTTTAAGGGTGTTTTTTTCAGATGTTTCAGACTTAAGCCAAAACAATTAAGAAGAAAGATACGGTACCTTTTACTCTCTCCTTCTTCTTAACCTCACAAAAAAATGAGCCTCACCTTTAAAAACTGTCAGAATCAAAACAGACTAAAAAAAAAGGAACGAAAATAAAAAAAAAAAAGATTAAATTAAAAAAAAAAATTAAGAGCAATAAAATGCAAAAAGCTCCGAAATCCAGCACCACCCTGACTCCACCACAAGAAAAGACAGAGCTAGGCTGCGATCCAGAGAGCATTTCAGAGGTGACAGCACAGGCTGGGGACAATGTTATTTACACAGATCTGATCAGAGCGGCCACGGGCTCCAAACTCTAATTGAATTTGCAGAAATTATCCAGCCCGCATTTCGGAGCGCGGGCAACTCCAAAAATGAAGCGGTTTCACAGATTTTTTGAGAATAAACATTATTTTCCCCCCCTTTCTGTAGAATACGCTGAGAGTCCTGCAAGGCTGCACAAACTCTCTCGTTGTGTCCCTTTCTCCTGATCTCAGCTTCCATGGGAGGATAATTTGTGACACCAAAGGCAAAATATCCTCGCTGCTTTTTGGGCTCGGAGGAACTGAGTTTATTTAGCTCGAGGCAGCGCAAAGGAAAAAAAAAAAATGAAATTAAATCATCCTCAATTTTGAGTAACTAATGAAAGCAACCCCTCCCCAGCTCCCTCACCTTGTAGGAACAGCCTGTGGCTGGAAGGTTGGAGCTGCTAACGGCACTGGAGGTGCTCAGAATTAAAGGAGAGCTGCAGGAACAGCCTGAGGAGCCCTGGCTGGGAGCATCCCAGAGCCTGAAAATAAAGCAAGAAGGGGCTGGAAAAACCCCGCTGCTCAGAGGGTGCTGTGCTCTGACCCAGCTCCATCC